GTAATTCTATAGAAAATTAAATATTTGTGAATATAAAATTTGTTTAGTTAACGCATGAATATTTCTATGTAATTTTTTGTAATATTCACGTGTCATACTTGAATAAATATATAAATACACAGAGTATATAAGCGAACGCTCAATTGTTCAATAACAGACTATAATATATAGCGAGGTGTAAATTTATTTTAATATTAGATTTTTTCATGATTTTTTAATTTTTTCGTATACAATCTCCGCACAAATTTATTGAATATTTACCGATAAGAATAATATTTGAATTTTAAAAAATGACAACGATTGACGAAGAATCAATTATTAAAAGCAATGATATTGTTCCTTCCTGGCAAAGAAATGTCTGTGTCCCTCAACAGTTGATTGAAGTAAATGAATTATTAAATTTAATCAATAGAAGATTAGAAGATTGTGCTTTAGAATGGCAAGCCGAAATATCTCGCAAACAATGGAAAATATTTAATTCTAATACCATCGAATACAATATGTCTGACAAATCATTGTTGGAACGAACATATTTCAATGAAAAAATATTTGATGAAGCTTTTCAGCATGTACTTTCCTGTAAAAAAAGTTTTACAAAATATTTAAAGGACTTTATTGGCAAGTAAATCAAGTGTATGCAATTATACGATGCAAATCTTTGAAAGATAAATTATCGAACATTTTGTTGCGTTTGTAGCTCTTTTACGAGGCGAAGAATCGATTTTTAATAGAAAAGAAAGTTGGAACGCACAAAGTCAATTCTATAACACAGTTGAAAATCGGAAGAAGATAAATGATTCAAAAACCGAGCCATTGTATTTTCCTTTATTGAGAAATCAACACTCAAGTGGAACAAGGAAAACTAAGAATAATCTTGTTGAAAATACATTAATGGTTCAAAATTCGTTTGCTGATGTAATTAAAGCTAAAGTGAATTTCGATACAAAATTCTTAGGGTTTGAAGCTGTATTACACAAGATTATTTCATTAACAACATCAACCAATACATCTTACATCTGTCGATATTGTTCGAAAATTTTAGTAAATAAATTATATATCACATAGAATTCTATTAGTATTGTAACAGTGCAATCCATCAAATAATGCAATCAATTTTATATCCAGAAAAATGGCAGACGAAAGAAGAATATGACTTTTGTTCAAAGACATCAAACTATTTCAAGATCAGAACATGTAACTAGATCTGCAAAATCATTATCCAAGAAAAAGAAAATAAAAGAATCCACCCTAGCAACTGGTGATACTGATAATCAGCTATCACTTAAAGTAAATACAAATTTTTACTGAGTGTATGCTTGCGTTTTTCACCAACGATTACAATTATATTACCTTTTTGAGCATTTAGAATTTCGATCAAATAATATACATCACCTTGTGTAATTCAAATATGATATTTTTTCAAAACTTATAACCTTCGACAGATATAAAATTAACGATAAAGATGCTATCATGTGTTTGTAGGCTTTCTGTAACATTGTTTACCATTAATATATTTGATTCTACTAGTAAAATCTTACAGAACGAATTATTTATAATAGTCATCGCTTTTTCTTTAACATGGTTGCATTACATTTTTCTTAATATGCTACAAAATGAATGTATACAGAAATACAATAATTTTATACATTTTTTACTTTCTTAAAGTTATATTTTTATTTTATTGACAATACGTATAGTAGTCGCTCTAATATTGCGAAGTTGTAAATTAAAATATCGACACCGACTGGTATTTACATTATTTTATTATTACATACGACTTTGTAATTCTGGTCA